ACGAAGTCTCTGAGGCGTTTGTAGAGCAGACGCTCATACAGTTTGCCCAGAGACATGAGGAGGCTAATCGGGCGGTAGCTCGTCGGATGATTTTTTGGTTTACCGGGTTTATGTATGTCGATAACGTCCGCTTCTTTCCACACCGCGGGAAAGATACAGTTCGCCATAGCGGCATTGAAAATAGATGCCAACATCACGATGAGTTGGACGGGTAGAAGCTTAATAACGCGGTTAGATATACCGCCGGAACCGGGAGCCTTGCGAGGACGTAGGTCTTTGATCAGGTCTTTAACTTTCATTGGGGTAACGGGTGGTAACGCATCCGAGGGTGGCAAGGAGGCTCTGCGTTCTACCTCACTGTCTACTAATTCTACATGAACAGGGTCCGCGGATTGAATGCTGGGCGTGCACTGGGTTTGCAATGTATCGGCCAGCAGCTCTGCTTATTCGTCATCATCAAACGCCGCGAGTCGGTCTGAGGGTAGTGAAATCTACGCACCGCTGTGTCTATCGGTAAATGTGCAATATACATTTTTTTAAGGGAACTATAACAACATTGTCGTTTAGTATACAGAAAATAAAAGTCATTTTCATATAATTTTTTTTTCTATTAATCATAATATGCACCACTGCCAGCGCAGTGGTAATTGTTAGTATAGGAGCAGCGGGGACGATTGATTGACTAAGGCTGGCTGGAGAATCGGGAGCTTCTCCATCATTGTGTCCAGTTCCTCACACCACAAATCTGCGATAATGCTGGTGCTGATGTAACAAGCTGTGATAAATTACACCGCCACTAGATCACCCAACAGTGACCATGATTTTTTTTTATATATTTGCTTGTATTTTTGTCGCGTCCAAATTCATAAAAAATATACAAATGTAGCGAAAACAAAAACACTAATCAATAAAGAAAGGACTGCATTGAATTCCTTGTTTTTAAAATAAGTTTTATTGTCAGCCTTGTATAAATTATGTTTCAGTTGGTAAGTTTTGTAAAGCGGCAACTTCATAGGTAAAGAAATATAGATATTAAATACCCAAAGAACAAACAATCTTGTTCATCACACGAATATTGTCACCCGATATTGTCATCGAACCTACGACCCTGGGTCCAGCAGTCAACAACTACTGTACCAGCAAATTTGTCATTACAATCTCATCCTTGACCCAGATCCCAAGTGTACAGAGAGATCATAGGTTAGTTTAGAATTGCTAATTTCATTGATTTTCACACGACCGTAAATCGTAAGGCCGTTATTTACAGAAGACGTTTTGCTCAACCTTTTTTAATACGATAAAGAGAATTTGCTTTGGTCATTAGTTGTCTAAATGCTTTAAGCTGTCATTTTACTCCTGCAGAACTGGCTCTGAGTATTTCTTGCAGATGTTAGTCATGTCACTGAGCCCCGTGAGTTCAACCCGCGGCGAATTCAGAAAAGCCCCTCGGTGCCACTGGCGGTGAGGTAGACAAAAAAGAGTTTTTTTTTTTTTATTACCCTTGTAGGCAGACGAGCATACAGCCCACCTGATGGTGAGTGGTTACCGTCGCCCAAGAACTTCAGCAATGCCGGGGGCAGAGCCAAGCCGCTGCCTACCGAAAAGTATTTTTCTAGAAGTCTCTATCTGTAATATTCTCCTCGCTTTTTGCAAGTCGTAGACATAATTAATAAATTATTTCAAAGGCAATTAATCTCTCGTTTATTATTTTCGTTTCATTCTTTTGGGACGTTTCGTTAATCGTCTTTCTATTTTCCGTCGTTCGCCGACTACTGAGTTGTCATTTGTCAACAATTGAATAATTGGTTAATTATTGTCGTATTATTCTTTAGAAGATAATCTACGTAAATTTGTTTCTTTAGACACAGAAACCCCATAGACACAGCCCACTGAGCTTCTCGCCGGATCTTCTCAGTGGGCCGCAATTCCGTACCGGTGGTAGATTCTGCGAAGCACTGCTCTAGCTAGGTAGGGTTAGTGTTAGCAAATTTTCTCAAGTTGAACCCGTGAGCTCACCGACTCGTCCGCGCGTAGTTGAAATAGCCCCTTAAGCTACCAGCAAATAAGTAGGGAAAAAACACAGAAATGACTACTGCAACTAAAAAGGTAAAAATAAAACAAATTATATACGCATTGTGAAGTGCGTTCACAAGCGCTAAACTTGATTACGTACAACATTGTTAATGCCATGGACAGTAGCTACATTTAATGCTTTCGCTTATAGAGTTCGCTGTTTTCGTAAACATGAACGGAAACCTTATTTTTGTTATTCCCCGTACAAATTTTAATACAACTTTTCTAAAAAAAGGTCTTCATTTTCATTCAAAATTGCTTGTACCTTTTTTGGACCTTCGAAACGGCGGTATACAATTTACAGCGGAAGGTACTTTACGATTACGCAGCTTTGCTTTTTTTTCGGAATTTAGATCAAAAAGTTTCCACACAGTCGCGAATTAAATTGCCAATGGACGAAGCTGCGGATGGAAACGGGTTCAGGAAAATTTCAGTTGAACGTACTTAATTAACATACTCATTTAAACTCTGTTTTAGCTTAAAACAAATTATTCTTTTAAAAGATGACAGTTTAAATTAGTTTTCATACAGTTATTAGGCTAAGCAGTGTGTTCTAAGGTATACTTAGAGTTAAACAGTAACATGGGCTCAGAGATATATATAACAGCATAAATTCCGCCACTCAATTGGTCAGGGACGATGTTATACAATGCAACTTAGACTTCGATCTACGGATAAATAGGTCTTTACTTTTTGATGCATAAGATAAACATTTAACACTCGATGATCAATAAAAAACGACCAGCTCACTTAAGTGTAGACAACAGACCTTTGGGATTACGTTCAATAGTGTAAAGATGAGAAAGAATATGACAGTATTTGATGTCGCTGAATCACAATAAGTTCAATTCATCCCAGATGTAGGGACCACAAATGTAGTCGTCGTGGTCTAAAGGATAAGAAGTCCGGTGCATTCGTATCTAGCGATGCAACGGTTTTCGAATCGAGGCAAGTATGTACCAATTTTTCTAATGAAATACGTACTTAACAAATGTTTACGATTGACTTCCACGGTGAAGAAATAACATCGTGTAATAAAAATCAAACCCGCAAAATTATAATTTGCGTAATTACTGGTGGCAGGGCCTCTTGTGAGCCCGCGCGGCTAGGTACCACCGCCCTGCCTATTTCTGCCGTGAAGCAGTGTGTTTCGGTTTGAAGGGCGGGGCACCCGTTGTAACTATACTGAGACCTTAGAACTTATATCTCAAGGTGGGTGGCGCATTTACGTTGTAGATGTATATGGGCTTCAGTAACCACTTAACACCAGTTGGGCTGAGAGCCCAACTAAGCAATAAAAAAAATTATTATATTGCAGTAATTCAACGTCTCTTAAGAAAGTCTTTCTCTCACTCTTAAGAAACGTTATGAAGAAAATAATATATTCGACATATTCTTTCTTTTACGAACGCATTTTTATAACAAAACCAGATGGTAGCATAACACAATAATAAAGTGTTCGATAACGATGAATAAGAACCGACAAGGGTATGTTCTGCATGACAATCGCCACTGAAAGGGCAATACTGGCCGTGCAAAATGCAAATTGGGTTCACCCTATTCCGGTAATCAGGATTTATGGTTTGGAGACAAAAAATATACGAACTCCAGCGCTTATTGAACAGTTCGTTTACCTTTTATTTGTATTTGAGCAAACAATTTATATTCAATTTATTACACTAACAGGTTTGTGGATTTTAAAGAAAATATCATTTATTTATACACTAGCGACCATCATCGTTTTCGTCGAACCCGTCGCTTGCGACGAAAGGCTAGACGAGCGAATTAACCCACAGACACAGCCCACTGAGTTTCTCGCCGGATCTTCTCAGTGGGTCGCGTTTCCGATCCGGTGGTAGATTCTGCGAAGCACTGCTCTTGCTAGGGTCAGTGTTAGCAACTCTACGGTTTGAGCCCCGTGAGCTCACCTATAAACGTTAGGCGAAGCTGAAATAGCCTCTCAAGGCTATCAGCATAGGTAGGAGGAAAAAAAAAGCACTAGCGACCCGCCCTCTTCGGATACTGTAATTTATTATGGATTTCTCCACTATTTAATGGATGTTATTATACAAATAAACCTTCCTCTTCAATCACTCTCTTTAGTAAAAAAACCGCATCAAAGTTCGTTACGTAGTTTTAAAGATTTAAGCATACATAGGATATAGGGACAGAGAAAGCGACTTTGTTTTATACTATGTAGTGAGTAGCCAAATGACTACAAGTAGGTTTCGAAGTGGTCCCTGAAGATCGAGATGGACAAGCCATTGGAGCACAGATCACGGTATTGAAGAAAGATAATTAAATTAAAATGTGGGGCGAAGTGGTGTCGGCGAAGCACTCTTTGCAAATCATGCCCCTCCAAAAAATCTCCAAATTCTTCATTGAGCAACCCGGCTCTGTTCACATTGTCTGGCGGCATCCAGATAAGTTGATAATTTGATTATCTTGTGCAAGCTTGAATAGAAAATAAATCACCGGCGATCATCTAGCCAATTGTATAAAGTGACTACCTTCCCTAAAACGGCTACAACGACAACGCCCTCAAATTAGTTAAATGATTCAGAGAAGGCCTCTCCGGGATCCCGCCTTTGGTTATAAAACTGTATTGAAATAATAGAAGTTCGTTGGTACACTATTGAATAGCGAATGGATCGTGAGTATGAACAATGATGGGTTTCAACCTATCTGTGATATTTTAAAAGAACATTTTCGCCACCAATGGTGAATTGCATATTCAGGGATTTCCTCATGAACAAAAGAGACCTTATATTTGTTAGTATAATTTTTGAAATTAGAATTCTTATAAGTATAATTATTATTTTGTTTGAATAAAAAAAGGGAAATAATTTACATATTTTTAGCATTGTTCTTTATTATATTATATTATCCGCATTCATTTTATTTTACACACATTTTTAAACTGCATATTAAATAATTACAATTTAGACATACATATTACATAAAAATTTGTTTTATGTAAATATCGATCCAACGTTTTGTCATAAGATTTTTATATAAATGGTATACCACTGGATGTTGTCCTTAAAAGGTCCAAATGTTTCGTGAGAATGGGATTGTCAACAATCCAAACGACCCTCTTCAATATGGAATCAAATGGAAGTACTTGGTATTTGGGGGTCCTGGCCCTAAGTGGTAGTAATACTCCACACGAGGCCCGACTTGTGCTTCGTAATACAAAAGTTATAAAATATTATTATTATCGTTTCTGCAACTTTACACAGATAAAAATTTTATATTTTCAAAAAAAAAAAATTATTACAAATATTTTGATACACGATTTCTTCACTTTAAATTTCAGTGAGACCAGTAAAAAAAACAATAATTTTGCAAAATCTGCGTTGGCTTAAGACTTAATTGAACAATCACATATGTATTTTCTTTTTATTACTAAATGTGTGTTACATTGTAATCTACAGCCAGAAATTCAGAAATACATAAAAAGTAGTATTTACATACTTCGATAAAACTAAATCATTTATATGCTATCTCAATTTCGCATTCTGACACAACAATTTCACACTTAAAACCCGTAATACGAAGAGCGACCTCTAAACATTCTAAACACTATGTAACATTATACGTTTTATTTAGAAATCGTAGACTAATGTTATCTATGTATGTATGTATGTTATCTATGTAAAGCTTAAAATAACTGTCAACACCACTGTAAAAGTCCATAAGTAATGTTTTTATCAAATACGTGCATTGCTGAATTATATCGATGCTAGAGGGTTATCCTCTTTTTATAAAAACCTTTTTTTTTCTAACTTTAACCTATTTAAATATGTCCGCTTAGGCATTAACAACTCTAAATAATGGTAAACTATGTTACATAACAATATCAAAAGCAAGTTTTTATAGACATTTTTATTTGATAAACAACCAAATTTCTCGTTTGAATGAAAGGCCTAATGGGAAAGCTTAAAAAAGAAATTTTAAACCATTCGGCTCAAACAAGAGCCGTACAATGAAATTTAGGTATTTATTTCAGCCAGGTGAACGTACCGAACCGTTGGGATCGTTTCAGATCTTTGAAGCATAAAACTTCTGTGAATAACACAGGCTCGTAAATCTAATAATACGTTAGATAAGATTTATTAGCTACACAGCGTTTTACTTGGTGCCAATATAATATTTTCATGCGTATCATAAATGAAGCGTCTTTTACACAAAGATAAAATAGAGATGCTCAACTTTTTTTAGCCAAAATAACAATGTTATAAGAAAGTTTTCATGTTTCCAATAATTATGATATAAAACTAAGGGCCAACTTTTAAAATAATAAATTCTGGTCTTATCATATAAATTAACATTACATCATTATCATTTCTTTACTAAAGAGTATGCAGCATATAGCTGACTTAGTTGTTCTACAGGACGTAAAACTCCTAACGGCTAAATCTACTTAAAAGTCGAATAATTACAGAAGTTTGCACAACTAAATAAGATTGTAAGTTTCAACTATCATCGTTTCCAACTACAATTAAAGTTTGTACATCTTACGAAAATGCAATTTGCATTTCGCAGGTGGTTTCTGAATGTATATGACCGTTGACTACAACGATATATATGTACATATGTACGTATATTCTAAATGGCTTATTATTAACGGCCGTCTGGTGTAGTGGTAAGTGACATGGTCACTACACAAGGGAATCGCGGGTTCGAATCCCGCCAAGGGAAGATATGTGTATGATAAATATTAAAATGTCTTTTCCAGGGTTATGGTTTATTAAAGGTTTAGTAAAGGTTTATTAAATATGTGTATGTGTATAATAAAAATCTTACATTTATTTCCGTTATCTGGTACCTGTATTACAAGTTCTTTACGAACTTAGTACGGGACCAGTTAATGTGGCGTGATTGTTAGTAAATGTTTATTTATTTATATTTATATTATATATTTATATAATGGCTAATGGCTATTTACAATTAAACGTGTATTTAAACGAACTTTTCAACAATCATGTGTGTGTATATGTATTTAATTTTAGAGTCATCTGAATGATTTCATTTTGTATGTTCAGCCCTCGATACTCATTCGGTTGTATTATATTCTCTAGCTCTTAAAATTTGTTAAAGTTTTTAAACTATCTTTTTCTGACTTCAGTGGGAAATTTAAATCTTAACCATTACTCATGTTTGACTATGCCAATGTATTACTAAAAGATCATGACCATCTGTGAACGTGCTTCCTGTTTTATTTTCATGTTTACAAAAATTTTGAATATCATAGAACTCGCTAAGTCTCTAATTTGCGATTTCTTAAACTAGAGTAGTTTTTGTTACGTCACTTTGGCCAAGCGAGATGAATGATGCATTTAAGAATCTTAATCTAGAACATTCTAAATATTTTATACTAGTTATTGGAAAGTTTCGATTAACTAAGTGGCTTCATCCAAACTATCGTTATATAAATTGTCTTCGCATGAAGCGTTAAAACAGTTGAATCAAGTGAGGTTATCATATGAAATTTGACGCCAAAATGAATGAACACTCGTACATAGTATCGAGCATTTTTCTTAAATGAGAGATGTTGACTCCATGATGATTGAGAACTTTTCTACAATTAGGTAAACAAATTCACGTATTTACTTAGCGTTTGCATTTGGAAAGAAGACTTGCTTCTGTGTAGTTTTCGAATAATCCATAATATACCGATATCTGTCTTAAAATATCTGTAACTTCACGTCAAAATTTTCGCATCGCTTATTTTGTGTCAAACAAATTTCATTGTTCTTTTTCTTCTTCTGTTTTTTCACCACCCAATCCTAAATTATTAGTTCTTGGCCTACAGCGGTATTGAAATTTATCAGATCCTCACTTATGTTTGTTTACACGTAAACAAACTTTCGCCGTCGTTACACATAAGTAGTCTGCAGTTCAGTTTGGGATCCAGCCCGGTAGGTCTTTGCGCATCTCGTTCTCAGCATCTGCCCGAATGTGGTTCGGAATTGCCTTGACATTGAGCAGTATAACACGAAGTTTATTGCTCCGTTGAGAAGGGCCAGTGCGTCCATTAGCTCCCCAAATAGATAGTAGCAATGCTTAAAGAAGCATCGTCCCAAAATTCCGCTCAGGAGTCCTGATAAAAAAATACAAATTGTATTATAATATAATATAATAGTTTAATAATATAAAAGTCGTGAGTAATACTGAAATGAAAAGGCTAAGAAATATTTTTTGAAAAAAAATAAGGAATTTTTTAGCTTCTACTGTTTAAAAGGAAAGATTTTTGTTGTGGCTCTGCTAATTCTTTCATGCCATCGAGTTGAAATTTCGAGCGATTTTTATTGGCCGTTAAGGTAATATATCTAGTATATTATGTACCAAATGACACGTAACGTAATTTATAAAATATTTCGCGATAGTTGTAGCAAAACGTGGGTTTCACTGGTAAATATTCAGACGCAGTACGCTATAATCTTTAAAAAAAATATGTTAAGTGTTCAATATGAATGATTCTACTAAATTATAAATTCCATTTTACCCCCTACCCATTTACTGAAATTTTTATTTAATAATTATGTAGGATTTGTATCAGTCATAACACATTGTCATTCGATTACTGATGACAGGTTATAGTCTCCAGCGTGTAGGTAAGTTCCACCATCCTTGCCATTTTCCTGTTTGAAGTTTGAGACTACTTAACAGTACAGTTGAACAAGTGATGATCTGATCAGTTGCTCTAATTAAGTCTTCAATGTTCTGTTTAATAGATGTTTAATATATGACACATGTAGAAATTCCACGGTCCACTGAATACCTCTTAAAACCGTTTTCCCGTGACTCAGTTTAAAATAAACTTAATCCTATTAAGCACCAAACAAATAAATTATGTTGATCTTGATTGAATCTTGAGGATTTTAGCAATAAAAACCAATTAAAACTTCTCTACCATCCATAGCTTTTAAGAGTTTTAAGTCAGCATATTGATCTTTAGACATCGCTCCCAACCAACCACTCAATCTTGATCGTCAATTTATTTTAACATTAGAAGCTACTAATTAGGATTATTGATTTCTCTCAAAGAAAACGTAGGATTCACTGAGCGCTATTTCTGTCTTTTTTTCGTCAATCTTATCTTTTATAACCATAAGCACTCTTCTAATATATATAATCTTACATATCCCATAGGATTCCAAGACAAAAGACACTTACCTAATATACCCTGGGGAAACTCTGTCAGTAAAAACAATAATAGTACAGCGACTAACATCTTAGTCGTTCTGTCGGTTCTTCTTTCGATCTTAGACCGTTTTGTCGATCTGCGAGTGAAAATATTTCCTTTTCCATTCACAATCGTCTCAGCTGGACACGCGTTGTACCCTTTGAGAATCTTCTTCCTATAATTGGCTCTGTATAAAGCTCGGATAAGCCAAGCGCTGATTATAGTGAGAATGACGCATGGCAGTAATTTGATTAAGACAGCGTGTACCCAGAAATTAATCTGATAGAGGTATCCGTCGAAATCGGAATCTACGAAATAAACTTTCGAGAAAACGTTGGCGTTCCTGTCGTATGAGAAGTCTTTATGGATTGTGAAGACCTGGAATGAAAAGAAATGCCGCAGAATGAATAATATGTGATAAAGCAATCTGCACGTCAATCTCCGATATTCTTTTTAAAAGAAATTTTTAGTATTATTTTTAATGTGTATTAAAACACAATTAAAGTTTTATGAGTAATTATTGAAGTGTTACCAATGGGCTACATTTAAAAAGAAGCAACACGTTGTAATACTCAAAGTTTTTATTAAAAATATTTATAGACCGCAGTTTTAAACAAAAAACGTGTTTATCCTTCCGTCTTACATCAACGGAACCTTTTTTGAGATATTTTATTGGCCATATAATAATAGCATTAATCTCGAAAAATAACATGTTTCTCAGTTTCCACAGATTTAATTCGAGTCACTCACTGGAGCAGAATATGTTCATTATTAAATAAAGGATTCCTTAACTTCAATTGTCAGAACTATCAAAGCCGACAGTGAAGTGAAAATCTAGCCCAATTCAATTCACAACAAAGCCTTCACTTCAGTAACAGTAGTGGAATCAATAATTCCTAGGTGTGAACGAACAAAACCTTAGCAACTGAACCCTCTGACCTTTATCAATCAAGGCGATGGCTATTATAATTGCAAACGAATTTCTAACTAGAACGTGAAAGTGGCTTTTAACTCAAATAAATCAAATAATCCATTTATCGATACGTCAATACGCCTTCTGGTATTAACAGCTATTAATCATGTTACATTAATTAGGATATGACTAGGTATTTCAAGCCGTTTGTTATAGGCGTTCCTGTAAACGGACAGTAATTGACGACTCGAGAGGTTTACATCTCAGCTAATATATATTCCTTACTACAAGGACAGAAGTGAATGGAAGAACATAGTCCTGACAAAAGTGCTCAGTAAAGGTCACGACCCTCAGAACTGAGGAATACGACGCACGGAGGAGGAGGAGGACTACAATAAAATGATATATAAAGTAATTTTACATTTATCAATAGAATACGATGCTATGACGGCGCAATTGTTTAGTATGTTGTGTGTGACAATATCTAAGGTGGGGGAAAATGATGAATGATAACATTTAGTGTTTTTTATTGATTACACGGGCGAATCAGCTCAAGGCCCACCTTATGTTAAGTGGTTACCGGAGCCCATAGACATATAACAATTTGAATGCCGTCAACCACATTGAAACATGAAGTGGAAGATTCCACTGAATTGTATATACCATTGGTACATTTATATCTGCTTTGGCCATTCCAACAACAGTATTGGATTGTGTGATAGTACACCGGGCGTCACCACGTTTACAAATTGTAATCTATCTATCTACTACATATATAAAAATGAATTGCTGTTCGTTGGTTCCGCTAAAACTCGAGAACGGCTGGACCGATTTGGCAATTTTGGTTTTGAATTATTTGTGGAAGTCCAGAGAAGGTTTAAAAGGTAGATAAATATGAAAACGCTTGAAATTAAATAAAAATAACAATTTTCCGGACGGATTCCTTTTGTTTGTTTTAAGTTTATTTTATACAAAAGTTTAGGTCTTTTATTTATCGATTGAGGCACTACGAAGTCTGCCGGGTCAGCTAGTTATTATAATAATAATGTAAAAAGTAACATTTAAATTATTAGAGGTTTTCAGAAGTAAACACTAAATAATTACGTTTTAATTCGTACTCGAACGAATAACCGTTACCAAAACCGATTGTTAGGTACCTCTAGCAAATTTTACTTGGGCGAAAATAGGCGTGCGTAACGTAAAACAAGCCAGTAATTTGAAAAGTTCTGTGCCAAAATCAGAGGCGAGTGGAGTTCACAAAACTATTTTATATACGATCCAATTTCTAGTATCTATGTATTAGTGAAGCAAAAACTTTGTAAGTACCCCTTTTTACGAAAATTGCGCGTACGGAGGAGTATGAAATTTCCCACACTCTTAGAGAATATAGGGAAGGAGTGCGGGATGTTAATATTTTCTTAAATTATTCATAAAATATATATTAAATCAATCAAAAAAACATTACATACACTAACCATGTATTTAACACACACATTAAGCATGCATACTATTTGTTTATTGCCAATCTTTTCTTATTGCTTACTAGCGACCCGCCCTCGCTTCGCTTCGGAAACATTAAAACACACATGAAACCAAAAAAAAAAAAAAATTTAAATAAAAGTAGCCTATGTTCATCAGGGACAATGTCAGCTTCTAATGGAAAAAGAATTTTTCAAATCGGTCCAGTAGTTTCGGAGCCTATTCAAAACAAACAAACAAACAAATCTTTCCTCTTTATAATATTAGTATAGATTAGTATAGATAGTCTGTGGTTAAATTGAGAATAGATTCAATATTGTTTGTCTTTATTAATATTTGTCTATAGTGTAACTAGTCTTGGCGAAATCTGTGATTATAGAAGTAAGACTTTGACAACAGAATCATAATAGTGTACAAACTTATAATTTCAAATAATTATAGTCGAATTTCCACTAGTAAGTGTTAATAGTGTTAGTAATTAAAATCTATTATGCTGTTGTTGTTAATCTAAATTTGATTTATAAGCGTTGTAATTTTGTGCTGATAAAGATTTTAATTTTCATTTGTATCTAAAACTAAGGTTTTTCTATTTGCTTGTATAAGTAGATGAGCTCATAGCACACCTAGTGTTAAATGGTTACGGAACATCAACACATCAACAACTTAAATGCCGCCACCCATTTTGAGACATGAGTTCTAAAGGCTTCGTCAAACAGAACGCGTAATTAGCGCGACGTCAGTTTAGCGCTCTGATGCGCGCTAATTACGCGTTCTGTTTGACGAAGCCTTAAGTCTTTGTTTTACAGTCTATGAGATGATATTTACCTTGTATAACTCTTTAATTTGTCGATTAACATATATTCTATATTGATGCTCACTTTGTTAGTACAAACAAATAGGTTAAATTAAATACTCACAAAGTACGATGGTATGCAGAGTATAGACGGAAGCACAAAACTCAACATTATGGCCACTGTGCATCGCCTATCTGTGCATAATATTGGACTGTGAGCCGGATATCTGTGAAAAGAATGCGAACTTAATTGCGTAGTTGACTGGTGTAGGATTAGTAAATATTATTTGAGGTTTTAGATTGCTGGTTGGATCCAGCCTGTGCCAAAGTGATCACATGTTCCATTCCAAAGAGCTGAATAGTCAATTTCAATACTACCTCCTTAGGTAGAACCTAGAACGTTTCGAGGAACAACACTCAAATTGTGGTAGTGACTCGGGCATTATAGGAATAGGATTGCCTAAACTATAATACATCGATGAAAAATATGAAGCCTTTGGTTTTTTTTTTTTTTTTTGTTGAAAGATTGCTGGTTGCCCGGAGGCCTTTCCAGTTTCACCAGGACAGGTGGGCGAGCAAAGGCTCAGCCAGGAGGGGTGGGATTTGCTAACAGCTACCCGAGCGCCTCCGAAGGAGACCTAACAGCTCAAGAGTAACTGCTTCGCGAATGAATCTACTACCGGATCGGAATCGCGACCCGCTGAGAAGATCCGGCGAGAAACTCAGCGAGCTGATTCATGGGTTAGATTGCACGCGAACTCTTTGTCGAGTTCGACGAGTACAGTTACCGAGGTCCCTAAGCCTGCTCCTAGTGTTAGAGCTGAAGGCGTCTAATGCAAAGGTTATTGGATCTGTTGGATCCGTAAGGACGTGTCTAGGGCGTCGACGGTGACTGGCTCCTGCGTTAAGCCTTTGGAATGAAGAAGGATTGCGAATATGAAATTTTGGAACATAGAATAATACACTGGTTTCGTAATTATTTTCGAATGTAAATGAAAAATATTCTACACTATGTATGTGTTTTTTTGCACGATAGACTGTCGGTCTGAATATTATTGTACAGAACTCGTCTGGAAGTTTTCATGAAATACTTGTTTCTGGTTATTGTTGAATCGGATCTATTCGCCAATGCATAGCCCCTGTAACAGCAAGCTAATTTGTAAATATAATAATATGTTACATCAAAGCATACATTCAGCACATTTCAATATTGTTACGCCGGTAAGAGTAACGCCATCTATCGCCGAATAGTCGAACGAATATCTAAGGATCTAGTAGCATCTAGAACGCTCGAGAATTACAACGCCATCTATTGTCAGATAGCGGAAACACAATACTTGACTTGTGTGGAATATTCTCGATAATTCTAGGGATGTGGTATCGGCTATAAAAGCGTTACAGAGATGGCTCGCAGTCACTCAGTAATCGGAGCTACTCGAAACGAAACAGCGAACGGATCACCTAAAGCGAAGCGGAATAAGTGAATTGAGAATTTTAAAATATTTGTTGAGTGTTTTAAGTGCTCCAAGTGTTGAACACAGTTTTTAGTCGTACTTTGGTGGAACATTTATTTATCCCGAACTCCAGCGCGTTTCAATATTATTGGCATATTACCTACAGAACACCTACCCTACACATAGACTCATTTTCTGTGTTTGAATTAACATAGGCAATTTATGTTTGTTCCACAAGTGCTTAAATGACAAAACATATATACGAAACGCGAAGAAATTTACCAATAACTTTTCATTATCGATATCATGAAAGACTAATAATATCCGTCAGCCTTAGAAAAAAAACAACAGGAAATGTCAAATATCAAAACTTCATATAGCAAATAGAGAACCGATACCTACAATCTTTCATTTCGAATGATAATATTCATAGACCTTGCTTTTTTTTTTCAGATTTGTTAAACAAAGAAATACGTGCGCGTCGTACGTTACGATACACTCTGTTTTAAATCAATGGATGAGTAAAGAAACGTATCGAGTTAATTCAAACATCCAGACGTCTGTTTTGAGAAGATTCGTCCCACATCATTCGTATTTAGATACACGCGCGTAGATTTTCCGTAACAAACATTTCCGATATCTAGATATTCCTTCTTCATACTCGCTTAAAGCTTGTGTTCAAAATTTATTCCTTGAATGATTTTAAATGCTCAAATCTAACTAACACCTTGCCTATTTCTGCGAATAATCATACTTTATGGTTTGAAGGAGCATCCATTGTATTGTATAATTGAGACATCATATCGCTATATATGTCTCAAGGTAGGTAGCGGCATTAATAACGTGATGTTTACGGGCCCTAGTAATATAAGCCGTGAACTCTATCAGTTATCGATGCAATAAAAAACAATAACCGTCCATTGAAACCTAACATTACTGAATAAAAATCTATCTGAATAGTTTATTTTTTATTTTTATTGCTTAGATGGGAGGACGAGCTCACAACCCACCTGGTGTTAAGTGTTTACTGGAGCCCATAGACATGTACAACGTAAGTGCGCCACCCACCACGAGATATAAGTTCTAAGGTCTCAGTATACCTAGTCAGGTCATAAGTATTGTCACACAGTAAAAACTTTTCTTTTAGAATGCTGGCCACAAAAAAGTTTATTGAATTCGAATTTCGAATTGTTCATGAAAATAAAAATGTATACTTTTAGAATTTTACTCATTTTTAAATATGGAGTGGACGCTTAAAGAAGACCGTGTTGTAGTTATTGCGTTGCATCGTTGCGGTTACGCGCCAATTCAAATTTTTAACATACTGAAAAATTTGAATATAACCAAAAGATTCGTTTATCGTACCATCAAACGATACAATGAAGACTCTAGTGTAGATGACAGGTCAAGAAGTGGTCGCCCTCGGTCTGTTAGGACTCCAGCAGTGATAAAAGCTGTGAAGGCGCGAATTCAAAGAAATCCCAAACGTAAGCAGAAACTGTTGGCCCTTCAGATGGGGTTAAGCAGAACCACGGTGAAAAGGGTGTTAAATGAAGACTTAGGGCTTCGGGCATATCGAAGAAAAACAGGACATCGTTTGAATGCTCGTCTAATGGACCTGAGACTGAAGAGATGCCGCGCTTTGTTGAAGCGGTACGCGGGAAAAAAATATCGGGAAATTCTTTTTTCGGATGAAAAAATTTTTACCGTAGAAGAGAGCTACAACAAACAAAATGATAAGGTGTACGCACACAGTAGTGAAGAAGCGAGCAACCGTATTCCGCGTGTCCAACGAGGTCATTTTCCATCCTCGCTCATGGTATGGTTGGGAGTTTCTTATTGGGGCTTAACAGAGGTACATTTTTGTGAGAAAGGTGTAAAAACGAATGCAGTTGTGTATCAAAATACAGTCCTGACGAACCTTGTGGAACCTGTTTCTCATACCATGTTCAATAACAGGCACTGGGTATTCCAACAAGATTCGGCGCCAGCTCATAGAGCGAAGAGCACACAAGACTGGCTGGCGGCGCGTGAAATCGACTTCATCCGGCACGAAGACTGGCCCTCCTCCAGTCCAGATTTGAATCCGTTAGATTACAAGATATGGCAACACTTGGAGGAAAAGGCGTGCTCAAAGCCTCATCCCAATTTGGAGTCACTCAAGACATCCTTGATTAAGGCAGCCGCCGATATTGACATGGACCTCGTTCGTGCTGCGATAGACGACTGGCCGCGCAGATTGAAGGCCTGTATTCAAATCACGGAGGTCATTTTGAATAAACTTTAGTGTCATAAGAATCTATGTTTTGTTAAGTTTATTTTGGTATATGAATGGTTACATAATGAATAAACTTGTTTCAATTATTTTACATTAAACATGTGACAGAATTTATGACCTGACTAGGTACTACTCGCGAAAACAATAGAAAAAACTAAAAATTCGAAAGCCCTTTTCTTTTTATTTCAGACTGCTGTGTTGTGTTACAGCAATAACGTTAAACACACACACATTCCATTTCTCTTGTGGTCGAGGCGCTTAGTGGCACGATCAAAGATTCACTTCACAGACGACCCACATTTTGGGTGTCAACGCGACGTATTGCCGTCTCGGTAACAAATTTCTATTAGGTTTATTTTCTTGCCTTAAAAAAAACGACTTAAGAGACCCTTATGAGAATTTGTATTTCAACCAGAGCTTGAAAATTCAATAGGGTTTATAACACAATTTCAGAACTTAAATAGATCTTGATAGCTATTATTGTTTTTCAAAATTTCACTGCTAAATTATTCCGAAGTTTTCAACAAAAGATTCCTGAATAACCAAATACATATTTCGATTTGAATATTTCGTATTAAAACTCCCATCGTTCTGTATTATAAAACATTCAAAACTAAATTAACGACTTTGAAATTAATAGGGACACAAATTATTAGGAAACATTTGAAGCAAGTCCAAAATAACGAAATATAGATAAATTTTATTCCTTTATTACTAAAAATCTATGGAAGATTTTCACTGATGAGGTTTTTTTTAAAAAAAACTTGCTCTTTTTTCTTTGATTTCATATTTCACAAAGAGTTAATAAATAGTATGTGAGCCATTGTTCAAACAATAAGGTACAATGGGATCAGTAGATAAAAGCCTTTTCGAAGCCCCCAACATCAGAGACAATGAAGATATATTGTGTATATAATGTATGGAAACGCTGGAGAAACCAGCTAATGGCAGGTCGTGCGAGTGGAATCGATTTTAACAATAATAAAAAATTTACGGAAATTAGTAAAATTCACTGTATCGATTCTAATGAAATTTATTAAGACTAAATTGTGGTTACGATTTAGGATCTACTATAATCAATCAATTGATAACTAACTCTTCGTAATCGTCACTTTAGGGTTCAGTTTCTTTTAGCACTGCGCTAAAGGTTCGAGCGAACGCATGGCTTATTTTTTTTTTTATACCTGGTGTTAATTAGTAACTACTACATACACATCACACGATAAATGGCGCCATCAACATACTTAAAGGGCTTAATTTTAATATTTATTTTATAATTTTCGACTCACCCTCTTAAATCGGAATGTATGATGCCAGAAACAAGTTGGATGTAAAGAATCACAATATATGTACCATACCATTATTAGGTATGTTCAATTTTGCGAGTTTTTTTTTTCAATATTTAACGATATTCCTTCCACGCAAAACGTGAACACGTGTTGAGTATTTCTTGTAAAAATTATACTTGTTTGCAATATTTGTACCTCTACACAGTAGCATTAGTCGATAGAAGTCAGAAGTCATTTCAAGGAAAAAAGAAGGCGTCTTAGGCTAAAGGATAAAATCGGTATACTCACTTGATTGCAAGATATCGCCAAACTGCCAGAGACAAGGTTAACAGTATTGACGCTGTATGGAATATCTGCGTGAAGTGCATATGAAACAGCATATATGCAGCCCAGGAGTACGGACGGTCTTCTTGACCGGGTAACAACTGTGAGAAAAAATAGACTGTTAAAAACATGAGCAAGCTCCATTCTTTTTCTTGATCGGGTCTCTCGTCATATCTCATTTTCAATACTATCCAATCTATTCCAATACTATACCACTAGTATGAATGAAAGACTGCCTCACCATTGAAATGCCTATCTCACACTTTTCAGGGCCTATAGTACATTGTTGTGTAAAAGCTCTAGCTAAACTTTCCTTATCTTGTAGCTTTGCCTGAAATTAATAACTTCCCTTCCTTAATAAATCAGAATTTTTTAACATTTCCACGAGTTTCTTTTTTTGCGAAAAATCCTAATTATTTTTCTAAAACAAAAGCTTAAGTTACTCCTTATAACATCTCTTATCTGTCATCGAAATCTATCGAGCCTTATTATGTAATAGCATAATGTTAGCCGGAACATGTAGATAGACAGACAGACAGACAGACAGATAAACATTTTAAAATTGTTTATTTTTGCCGTTTCCACATTCAACGAAAACTTAACTAAGTAAAAATATTTCTGATTTTAAAACTGAATCTTTCTAGAATCAATAACAAAATTACAGCTTTGAATTAAAGTCCAATATTGTGAGGATAACTGGCAGTTAATATTAATACCTAGGTTGGCAGCCCGTTGGTTTACGATATCATTTAACTTTTATGCTCCTTTTAACAACATTCAATTGAACATAAAGTTAATTCTTTCATAAAATCACTAAAAGTTAAATAATAAATTTATATACAGAAGAAAACTGGATGGTTTCAGTAGATTTTTATTTTGATTTTTTTATTGCCTTTGTAGGCAGACGAGCATACGGCCCACCTGATGGTGAGTGGTTACCGTCGCCCATGGACTTCAGCAATGCCAAGGGCAGAGCCAAGCCGCTGCCTAATTCATTAATTTTTCATTAAGCTAGGTTTTAAAATTATACACGGGTCGGTTTTTTGTTTATTTAAACTTATTTAATACCACAATCAGATAGCATTGACTAAAATCTATTATTTTATCGCGGACACCATTAATATATCGGTCCCACGACTGAGGTGTATCTAATCACAGCTCATATATTGACATCCGTCGTAAGGTTTAAGCTATACAGAGTGCCAAATAATTAGACATACATTTTAGGAACATACTTCAACCTAATTTTTTTCAAACCTAAATACTTTTGAAAAAGATTACCCTTCTTCAGCATTTGGGAAAATGGAATTAAAACGTACTGAAAGTAAGTATGTAATGAAATACGTACTTAATAAAATAAATGTTCACGATTTACTTCCACGGTGAAGGAATAACATCGTGAAATAAAAATCAAGCCCGCAAAATTATAATTTGCGTAATTACTGGTGGTAGGACCTCTTGTGAGTCCGCACGGGTAGGTACCACCGCCCCGCCTAGTTCTGCCGTGAAGCAGTAATGCGTTTCAGTTTGAAGAGTGGGGCAGCCGTTGTAACTATACTGAAACCTTTGAACTTATATCTCAAGGTGGGTGGCACATTTACTTGTAGATATCTATGGGCTCCAGTAACCACTTAACACCAGGTGGACTGTGACCTCATCCAACCATCTAAGCAAAAAAAAAAGTACTCACCAAATACCTGTAGATAGCGAATGGAACATACTCGATCATGACGAAGACGTCAGCTACTGCAAGCCATTTTAGCAGTCGATTTATGGGAGCCACTGCGAGATCTCGCCTCGTCAGCACGGCTACATTAAAAGCGTTGGCGAGACTACCAAAAAGACAGACCTACCGAAAATTATACACTAGATCATTATTATAATTTAAATTATGTATTAATAATACATTAAATCAATAAAAAACACAAAAAAGCATTCACACACTACCATGTATTTGACACACACATATATGTATACTCTTTGTTTACTGTCAAACTTTTGTTATAGCTTAAAGTGAGAATAGGTTAAAATTGTTTATCTCTAATATTATTTGTCTATTAATAGTGTAGTCTTGGCCAAATTTGTGATTATAGAAGTATTTTCTCTTTGACAATAGAATCTTATTAATGTTCAAACTTATTGTGTCAATAATAGTCGAATTTCGACTACTGTGGGACCACTAGTTTTTTTAAACACATCATTTATGTCTAGGAGTTTCATCAAATTTCAATTGTTTAAACTTTACGTTATACTTCATTTATATTTTTTTTATTTAAGTCCATCATTACAATTATCAATTATAGATTAATTAAATTACATTAGACTACACCTCAAAGAAACTAAGATTTAAAAATTCACTTCATTACAAATCTTAGTGCGTTTTGATTGCTCTCTCTCTTAATATACAGAGGAAAAAAAACAATATCGTTTTAGCAGCGTGTTTTTCGACAAAACTATCTCCAACAAAAGTTCAAATAAATAAATATGAAATCTCGAAATTCCCAGCGCACTTTCCGTAGAGACGTAGGCGTAACCACAGATGGATCTACTAATTTTACATAAAACAAATCTGTGTTGTATAAACATTGTAAAGAAGTACGAACTAAAAGTTGGCTCTAAAACATAATTGGTTTACGTTATGAAATCAAAAGTGATTGTATACGTTTAAAATCAGCACTAATAGACATTATCGAATGTAGTTAAATAATAAATTATTCCTAAATTCGACAATTAGTGCAATTTCAATTGAAAAAATGCTTGCCGTGGCAACATGAGAGAATTCTTGAGCAAATTTGCGATGCTCAAATTCTATTTACATAATCACCAATCGAATGGCTTAAATTCGCGATCACTTCGGTCACCGAAGAATTGTCCAGTGACGAAGAAGGGGGTCGCTCAAAATACTGAAACCGACCACCACAACGGAAGTGGGTGAACAATCTGGCGTACAGACTTTCTTTATTCTTTATTACATTATTTTGATAATATAGAATACAATCCATTTGAAACCAAATGACCTTGTTGTGGATTCGCTTAAGTACCTGGCACAATCGTAGTAATTGATTTTAAATACATCAATGTTTTGCACGTCAGAGTACGGACGCTTTTTATCTTGACTTATTAGAAAAATATTCAATCGACTCACCAACAAACTGACGTAGCCGTGAATACTGTTGTATGCTATTATCAAATCTCGGAACTCCCCGGCGCAGTATTCTGTTCCATCGCATTCTTTAACAACGGTTATATTGAATCTGTTTCTCCAATCTTCGAGCACTTTGAGCACTTGTCCGATGTTTGTAGTGTAATTCCCGCCGTGGTTCAATAGTGAATTTATACTGGCATCTTCAAACAAATTGCCGGAGATGTGGGAAAGATTTGTTTGAGTGTCGTAACTACTTCGGGTTTCATTTTCCGACCGCATTGTGAACGGAGAAAGATCACATCACTGTTATCCTCAAGAAATAATCGTCTTTTTTTGAACCAAAATATCGCGGCACGTATGAAGTAGTTTTAAAATGAACAACGGTGAGTTACATAGCTTTTCCATCGTCGGCGAAATCCTGAAAATAAACAAACACTCTCAGAAACCCTTGTGTAGCGATCAGTACAATTTTGTTCAATTTATATTAGTTACAATAATCTTGTTTTTACAATCTGCTTTACCACGAGTGATAACATACGTTGCTAGAGCTCACAAGTATATTTCAACAACCTTTATTTTATTAATAAACATACTTTTTTTTTTTAATCCGATTTCATTGTAGCCTATTGAATGAAAAGGGAATCTTACGATCAAACACAGAAAATGAACAGCTCCCATACGTTATTGCGTTCAGATAAATAAGTTTAATATTACATTTTACTCACTTTGATCGTAGGTCAATAATAATATTTCCTGAAAATGCATAATTCATATCCGTGTGAAAAAAGCAAAGCTATATACATCGATACTATGTGTAAATTTAATACACGTAAACTATTAAGTATTTTATGTGTAATGGAAATAAATAGAGGGCATGCGAGAGTCGTTTGTTTGACAAAGTCAAATCAGCCTTTGCAATTAACTGACAAATTCGAGGTCTCCTTAATACTAAACAACATGCTTCTTGAAACAAAATTTCAAAAGTTTTGAGACAAGCAACACTTTGGTAGCATTCCTGCGAGTGCTAATGTCCCTAGCGATAATAACCACCTATAATAAAGCGGTCGAAAACTTCCGAGAAATTTCGAAGTTAAAGTCAGAATACTTCTGAAATGTTAAGCTTCCTCAGTGCGATCAATCAATTCTGCAATACATTGGGTCGGTTCAACTTGACGTGGGATATTCGTTATATCACGGGATCATAAGGAAGCAAGCTGTTATACTGACTTAGATTTGGCTCGATAAGTTTGCTGGAACAAAATTCATTGTCTCTATTCCCTGTAGCGATGCAATAGGCTGTTTTAAATGGCATTTTTCCGTAGCGCATCAATTAATTTAAATACTGCTCAAGTGATTACTTATTTATTATACCACTGGTATTACTTTATCTACAACCTGAGAGATCGTAACCACTTTCTTCCCGATAGGTAGATCTAAGGTTCTATTTTAACGCGAAGATAACAAAATTCATAGAAACGATTGCGTTTTTAGTAACTATTACCGTAGGGCCTTAAAACATCCTCAAGCCCGCGGTCTGATCCCAACACGTGCAGATCATTAAGTCCCACATCCTTTACTTGCCCCCTAGGTGCGGTCACAATTATTCCACACATATACGAAGCAAGAAAGAGTACATATTGACTCCGAATATCAAATATCTTTAAAGAAAATATTGACTGCGAACGGAAATCAAAACTCATTCGTGGTAGAGATCGGTCAACTAACACCAGACCAACTTCGATCGATGCCGTCAGTCCTAATGTTGTGACTCCAACTTCCACTTATTATTGATTTCTTGTGTATTTCGTTAGCACGATTCAGGTGAGATAATCTTCGAATGGTGGCCGGCAAGGAGTGAATAGGGAAAGCCGAAGATTGGGCCCAATGGTGTGGGTTGGGAGAAACTTAAGTCCAGCTGTGGAAAACTGTGGGCTGATGATGATGATAATGATGTTTCAGGTTTTTGTCAAACAACTTTTATATACCACCGCCTTGCCTATTTCTGCCGTGAAGCAGTAATGCGTTTCGGTTTGAAGGGTGGGGCAGCCGTTGTAACTATACTGAGACCTTAGAACTTATATCTCAAGGTGGGTGGCGCATTTACGTTATAGATGTCTATGGGCTCCAGTAACCACTTAACACCAGGTGGGCTGTGAGCTCGTCCACCAATCTAAGCAACAACAAAAAATATACTATATCTTCGACTATACTACGATCTAAAAAATACTTAAATAATACTGCGCAATATAATAGTATAATTTATAGCATCATTAACCTTGATAATGCTAAATCAATCGTCGAGACAAATCATTTAATACAAATAGATCGAAAACAATACCACAGCTCCGGTTCGAGTTCATAATTAAGCAATTAACTCACATTAATATGAAAACAAGATTTCCTTTTGTTCGAAAACTTGATCTATCAAGATATGTTTATTTATTTTCATATCGACGCTTGAAAGGCAAACGTGACTAAGCGACAATAACTGCTTTGTACATAAATGACAGGACATAACTATATTCGATGCGCAAAAAGATATATATTTCTAGGTCTATTAAAATCATTTCAATCCTACAGCTAGATTCGTTACAATTTTTTTCAGGTATTTCCCAGCTATATTTTAAATTAATTTCAACTTTAAATTAGTCTACTGTAAAGTTCACGCATTGTCGCTTAGTCATGTTTGCCTTTCAAGCATCGATATATTATTATTTTCTAGTAAAGAAAAGGAAGGTTAAAGTTGATTTTCCTTTTGCCTACATTTGATTAAGGGGTTATATTTAGCAAAATAACTTAATCAAAATATTTATGTGGCAGACATCTGTAAAAACAAAAATCGTCATTTTCACCGCTGAAAGAAACGATAATTATACTTTCAAGCAGTAGTAACTGGCATAATGTTAGCATACAAGACTAAATAATCTTTTAATATGTGTAATTTTTATCAATAGTGATTTGTGATTTGTGAAACCTATTAAATGTTTTATTTTGATGTACACTAAATTATAAGTATAGATAATAAAATAAGGTTCCAAGATATCTTATACCGTCCATGGATATTGGATACGTAGCTACTACAAAGAGAAAATTTCCTCGGAACAGTGGTTTTCCGCAAATATTCCTTGTGTTGTGTTACTTACATAAATACTACAGTCGCATTAAAATAGAAATTCAAATTTTTGGTTCCATATTCGTTGTCTGGTGTTTGGTGTTATTACTATTTGTTTTTTGTGTGGACGAGCTCACAGTCCACCTAGTGTTAAGTGATTACCGGAGCCCATAGACATCTTCAACGTAAATGCCGCCACCTACCTTGAGACGCGAGTTCTAAGGTCTCACTTTTAACAGTAGGGGCTGCCCCATCCTTCAAACCGAAACACATTACTGCTTCTATACTATAAAAGGTCCTACCACCAATAAACTATATCTGACGTTCACTTAGCAGCCTGTGTAATGATAATAATGGGCGATTTATTTCAAATTTCGCTCATTAATCATTTAAAACAATGAATTATGCATTAAGTTCTTCCACAAACTTCCAGAAAGTAATATATTTTTTTCCATGTTAAATAGTTACCATAGATGATCAACTCAGCTGACATCCATCTAGTGTTATGATTACGGGGGTACATAGACACCACCGGATATTTGAGAAATGAAGTCTTTGCTTTTTTAACTTTAAAAATGTTTTCTACTGCATACATATTTAAACGGATTTCAAATATCAATTAAGTAGCTAGCAGAAAAAATAGCTTAGCATTCCAAAATAAATACAAAAATAATTACTAAACTTCATACGATGTTGTTTTCGAATGACAATTATTTTACTGGCGACGAACACGATGCATATTATATTATTTTAGATAATAACACAGCAGGACCGTTGTCTACTGCTTAAGATACTTTTCAAATATCTTTTGAAGAAGGACCTATCATAGTTCTTGCGAAGGGATTTCATTCCAGAGCAGAATGGTACTTGGCAAAAAGATCTCTGGAAATGAACTGAAGATTAGCGTGGAGTTTCCACATAGTCTGAATAAACCTCGCTACGGGTGCGGATGGAGTTATTTAAAATTTAATAAAGAGATAGTGCAGTCATTTCATGTTCAGTCTTTAATGAATACTAAACCCGTAGAGGACAAAACTTTTTGTAAAAATATTGAAAAATAAATGAAAAAATCCGAAGTAAGCTTGATTGAAATGTTGTCAATTTAATCATGCATAGATGAAAACCCGATAAATAGAAAAATGTCGTAATAATCAATTTTGACAAATTCACAAGGTATAATGAAAAATTATTAATAATTATTATTAAATCAGTTTTGATAATTTTTATTTGATGTTGAAAGATTTCAAGCTCTGGTACAGCGGACAAGTCATTGTCAATAGTACACGATGAATATTATATTTTCATGAAACTATTTTTTGTGAAATTTCAAGTAGGTAATAATAATACTACAATTTGAAGGATAATCATATTGCAATAGAATACAGGACTTTTCAATTATGATGAAATTGAAACACTCACAAACAAAGCAACTTCTATATATGTGGTTCATATTCGGTTTTATGACAGCGTTGCTTTTTAACCTTGATATTAATTGTTTACATAATAATTTATGGCTATAACATTTTCTACGCTTCCAGAACGTGCTACAATATTTTTTTTTAATAAGAATTCCTACAAAGTTCCAAGCCTATAATTAACTGAGGCAGCTTGCCGTTTAACAAATTATGAACAATTTTTCATTTTTAATTGAAACAACGGCTGTAGTTATTTATTCTAACTGTTTTAATACCAAGAAAAGAACGGATATTCAAAAAGTCTTAGTACTATTAAATAATCTGTTAGAATAAATATGAAATATACTATATCGTCGGCTTATTGCAAGAAGTCATTATGTGACATATTCAATATTTTGGGAAAACGGCATTTTAGTTGGAATTAGTTAGTGGTTATGTTGATTAGCCCATATTATCCTTCATACATAATTACTGTGAGAAAAATTGAATGTTTTGGATTGCTTAATATGTATATTAATTAAAACAAGTGAGAGTCGGTAGTTATATAACATTANGTTTCTCGCCGGATCTTCTCAGCGGGTCGCGATTCCGATCCGGTAGTAGATTCATTCGCGAAGCAGCTACTCTTGAGCTGTTAGGTCTCCTTCGGAGGCGCTCGGCTAGCTGTTAGCAAATCCCACCCCTCCTGGCTGAGCCTTTGCTCGCCCACCTGTCCTGGTGAAACTGGAAAGGCCTTCGGGCCACCAGTAATCCATCAATCATAAAAAAAAAAAAAAAAAAACTATAGTCTAATAAAAATTTCAAATTCAAAATTTTGGTTCCATATTTGTTTTCTGGTGTGTGGTGTTATTACTATTTGTTTTTTGTGTGGACGAGCTCACAGTTCACCTG